CGCGTCACTGTTGGGGGTTCTGTCCACCCCCGATTCCTACGCCTCCCAGGCCTCCTCCTCCTCCCTCGCTCGCCCCGCCTTCTCCAGCAACCTGCCCCTTGGATCATGGACTGTTCCCTCCATCTTGATCCCCAACATATTCTATCAACTCCTCACTACATATCCTATCACCTCCACGCATATCCTATCCACTCAAGGACTTCCTATCAACTCAAGGACTTCCTATCCACTCAAGGACTTCCTATCTCCAACATATCCTATCAACTCAAGGACTTTTTTTTTCTGCGCCACGGCAATGCGCAGAAGAAATCAGAAAGCAGTGCCGGCGCGCGCGCGCTCCCCCCACGCAGACCAGCCTCGGACGAACCGGCAACTGGCTGCTAAGGGGGGCGGCGCAGAAGAGCTCAAGCAACGGCCGGCGAGCGCGTGCGCCCCCGGGCAGACCAGCCTCGGACGAACCGGCAAGTGGCTGCCGGGGGCGCTGCGCAGTCGGGGGGGGCTCTCAAGGCTTCTTGGAGTCCCTGCGCAAGGCGGTCCACACTCCTTGGTCGAGCAGTCCGCACTCTGCCGCGGCAAGGGGGGGGTTGACCATCCGAGGGGAGCTCCCACCTGCCGCGCGGGGTGCCGTGCACCCGCGGCGGCAGCGCTCGCCTTCTCGGGGCCCCCTCCCTCGCCAGACGGCGAGTGACCCAAACACTTGCATCACACCAAACGTCTGCGAGCGCTGGGTGGCGGCGGGCCAGCACACGCAGACGGGCTTCAAACACCTGTTCAGCAGCGGCAGAGCGCCCGGCGTTCAGGGCCGCAAGAAAGGCTTCCATGCAGGAAGCACGACGGAGGAGACCAGCAACATCGTCAAATGCGAGGAGGAGGCAAGAGGGAAACCAATGGAATGAGCGCTCACCTCAACATATCCTATCAACTCAAGGACTTCCTCCTTCCAACATATCCTATCAACGCCTCACTACACTCGGACAATCCGAGACGCCGAGGACATTGATACAAATCTTGACCATCCTCTAATCTCTCGTTTCCGTACTGCTTCTCCTCTTTCCTCTGCCCCCACTGCGGGTAGGCTCAATCCGACTGCTCGTTCTGTGCGGGATTCAAAGATGGGCGCCGGATCCAGATAGGTAGACATGGGGGTCGGGAGTTAGGGTCGCAGAACCACTCGGAAAATTAAAGCCAAAATTGAAGAATGGGGAATTGCAGAACTGGGCGCCGAAGTCATTAAGGGCCATGGCCGCTAGCCGGAGACAGACAGGTTGAAGCGCACCGCTGTCGGTGGATGCAGAAACCGACTTCGATGGAGACAGACACTGTTGTTTGGATGCCGAATCCAGTTTCCCCACTCCCTACGAGGGGCCCTCTTGGGGCCATCCTGGGCTACCTTCGATGGCCCGAACACCTCGCGGCCCCTCCCTTCGCACCCCTGGGCCAGCCACGGAGTCCAAGGCTCGACCCAGCATGGAACGAGAAGCCACCACACGGGGTCTCGTATATGCTTTGCTGGGTGCGCCTCATCGTGCACCGTGCATGTGTCCACCACGCGGAGCAGTCAACACGGACCATACTCGGCGCGAGATCCTCCTGCTGTCAACGCCGCTTGCCCCTTTTATCCATGACGGCCGTGTCGAAGGCCTCTCGGCCAGGGACGGCGCCACCGATTCCTCCACTTCAGAGATGCACGGCGGTCGTTGAAGGTATGCATTTTGGGGCGCCCAGATCCTAGTCCACTTCAAGTGCCTTCCTACTTCAAGAGCCGATGTGTTTTTGTTGTTGTTGTTGTTGTTGTTGCTGTTGCTTGGGTGGACCCGAACCCAATCTAGTTGATTCGCCTTCCTGCTTCGTGTCTCCACCTGCTTCTTCCGACTAGCTGGTGCCTTCCTTCTCGGGCTCCCAGCGTTGGATGGACTGCTTCAGCTCTGGCCTCGTCTGCTTCGGGGCTGACCCCTCGTGGGTGTGCGAGACCACCTCGACGCCTCCAACAGCGCAGTCGTCATTCTCTTTGCGCCCGCCGCGCCCTGCATTCAAGATCTAGAAGGAGGAGAAGGAGGAGGAGAAGGAAAAAAAGGGGGAGGAGGAGAAGGAGGAGCAGGAGAAGGAGGAGGAGAAGGAGGAGGAGGAGGAAGGAGGAGGAGAAGCTGCTTCACAGCTCCCTGCTTGTGCACAGCTCGAGTTCGTCTCGATACCGAAGACTGGCGCTCGTGATCACTCCCATTCGCACGGTCTGCTTCCAGCTCTCTAGCTTGCGTGCAGCGCCACCCGGCCCTCGTGGATCGGAGCAGGGCGCGCCGAGACAATGACAGCTCAAAGTCGACCCCCCCTGCATCCACGATCTGGATCTTGGCCACCTGGCCCTCGTGGATCGGAGCAGGGCGCGTCGAGACAAGGACGGCCTAGAGTCGACCCCCCTGGCCTCTCCCGGTCCAAGCACGCGCCACTTCTCCGAGCTGCATCAAAACCGTGGCGCCGGGGGCCCCCCCCGGAAGGCCAACCT